TCTCAGAGGGCTGTTACGCGACGGAAAAAAAATTCTCAGATTGTCATTGCAGATCTGTGGGTCTGGTGTTTCTGTCATATTGTGATGCATCTGAGTCTTTGTTTGATTCTGATGTTTAACTACATTTTAATCTAATAGTTTGAAGATTTTTCAACAGATAGCCTTATTAAAACATCACGGTATGCACCTGCAAGATCCTACTGTGTTCCTTTTTAAACAGTACCACAAGCCCAAAAACTATTGGGGTATCAGTGCATAAGGTGAGACCTGTCTGAGGTGGAGCCTGGAAGAGATGGAAACTTGTTATTATTGGAAAATTTCTCTGGTTTCAGTAATATAGGGTGAAACATGACCTTAAATTACTTGTAACAAATGGAAATTGTAGCATTGAAAAACTGAACACAAAACTGTCTGCTTGAATATCTTTCTGTTTATGTAAATGTATTCTGTATGGTGAATTCCTGGGATATATCTGAGGAAGAACGTTTTTATCATAAATGGAATATGAACTCAACAGACTATCTATAAACAACACACAGAATACTTATGTGGACAACTAAAAGAATTAAAGAGAAACTGAAAATATGTACTGTTTAGTAACAGTGTATGTAGGCATGAATTTCTGACTTCATTTTATCATAAGTGTATGAGGTAATAAACTGCAATGTGTTTAGTAAATATCTGTATTAAGTGAATATTTGTTTCAAAGGGAAAAATGTTTTGGTTTCTTGGCATACTTTAATGAGCAGGATTTATTGTATTTTATAATTTTAGTTAAACACACAGAAATGTTTGAGACCCTCAGTATTAAAATATATGTTTTTTATGTAATCTGAGGTTTGTTTAAGATTTAATAACAGTGTTTAACTTATATACTGCTAAGCCTTGTGCTACAGATCATGAAGAATTGTTAGGCTGTTTTGTAAAAACTGGTGAGTAGGGAGTTTTGAAATATATTTTTTATGTTAGTGATATTTCTCAGTATATGTATGAATTTTATAACCCGTTTTAAGACACTGTCCCATCATAATATGCCTAGAGGGACTGAGAATTTGATATGGAGCAGACCCATGCATCTGCAGTGTTCTGTGAAGGATGACAACAATGATGATGATTCTGGGTTAGCTTCAGAAGTTGTATATAGACACTGCAGTATTGTGAGTTAACCAAGGTTTTACTGTGTCATATTTGTGAATTTTGTTCTGGTAGTATATAGTTCCTCCTAATCTCTATATTTTTAATACATCTGTGCTAAGGAGTCTTGTAATAGCTGATAATTATTGAGCCAAAGGTGATGTGTAATGTCTTGGAAAATAGAACATGGTGGTGCTGCAAATTGACTGATTTGTTAGCTTAATTTGTTTTCAGCGGAGATCATATTGAATATGCAAGGAAAATGCATGTGATTTGCAGGTCTCCTCCACCAGGAAGTCGTCGCAGCCACAGACCCCATGAAACTGGAAACCGAGGGTACAGGCCTAGCCGTCGACGTTGACAACAGATTGCAGCTTAATTGTGTGTGTGTCATGGATGTTATTGGACTTTGATTTGTTAATGAAGTTACTTAAGACAGATGTGAAGTCATTAAAGCTGTATGTATGTCAATATTATCCATTGTGGTAAATGGACTTTATCAAGTCTTTTGTCATATTTTTTATTTTTTTGAGTTCAGTGCAGTGACTCATCCATTTGGTATCTGTAGTAAGCCTTTATTGTCCTTATCACTGTGTCAATACAGAGATAACTTGTCCTTTATCAGCCTTTAATGGAAATCAGTGTGGTTTTCTCATCTTTAATACAGTGCTGGATATTTTTCCCAAAAGATACCAGAATTTCAAAACAAGTATACTATCATGTATTTCAAAGAATGTGTATTTGGTGCAAATTGCATACTGAAATCAGGAGCCCAGCTGTAGATAGAGTAAAGTTTGTACAACAGTGACTTCTGTGTGTATCTCCTTCATCCATTCCTATTTGTTACAATCAAAGAAAACAGATTTTTGTGTTTGGTGCTCAGTGTGTTAATACTGTCTTTGTGTAAATCAAAAAATGCAGTCAGAATTTCATTCATCTGTTAAGGATATTGTCTCAGTTGCTGTGGAAATTGCCAATGAGAAGCATCTACGGAAATTGAATCAGAATGAACAACTTTCTGAAATTGTTCAGGCAATGTGTACAGAATTCACTGTGTCAAAAGATCCTGGTATATATGCATTACAGTTAATGGAACAAGATGGAGGAAACAAGTATGTGACAGAGGAGAACCGAGGTGAGATAAAGAATGGTTCTATTTTACGGTTGGTTTTATCCCCTTCAGAAATTGTGAAGCAGATTATTGTGAGACTTGGTCCTAAAGCATCTGACACAGATGGGAAACTGTGGGCATTGTCAAAGCTTTCAACATTAAGTGCAGACCCAGTTTTTGCTAAAGCTTTCCTTGCCAGAGATGGCTACAAACTAATAACAAAGATGGTACTGGATGTTTCAGAATCTTGTGCTAATATCATGTACTGTCTGCGTTCTTTCACATGGTTGATGCATCATCGCTTGGTACCTCCTATACAAGATGGGTTTGTTAAGCGATTGATTGACTTTGTTAGTAGTGAAAAGCATCTTCCAGTGGACCTCATTGAATGTTGCCTTGAGATCTTGGAGAAAGCTGTACAACAAAAAGAAGGTGCCATGATGGCAGGAATTGGTATCCCTGATCTGATCCAGCATTTGTGGAACATGGATAGTCCATCAATTCAAGTGAAGACATTGGCTTTCATTAATTCTTTGGCACAAGGGCCAGATTCCACCAAAATTCTTGGGTCAATGATTTCAAAACAGATGAGAGATACAATCCAGAACAACATTTTGTGCTCTCATGTCAGTCCGACCATGGCCCATGAGCTATATGTTTATCAGACATTAATACTTGGCTTGCTACAGGATAGTCTCACTTCTACAATTGATCCTTTAGGGACTGATGCTAAGTACATCACAGAACTGAACAGCATACTGGCAAGTACAAATGCAGATATGCAGAATATGAAAGGCAGCATTGTTTCACTAAATAAAGAGAGAGATACCATGACACTGATGGATAAGGACTTGCCAGATGTATTGTCTAAGCCTTTTGTTAATGAGGATTTTGTATGCAGTACGCCACAGCTGGTGAAACCTAGTAAAAAGGCTTCTTACACTAGATCAAAATCTACTCCTGCACCAAGTTCTTCTGAGCTCCATAAAAGACAATCTCTTACGATAAATTTCACTTCAGATCACTCTGTTCTGATTTGCCGACTCACCCTTAATTGCATGCTGTATTTTGCCAGACGTTACTGTAGGACATTCATGCGGATGGTACTGGAGGAACAAGCTTTATCACGGTCATTTCCATTTACTTGTGAACATCTTATCCAATCTCTTTGTGAGTTGCTGGGTGTGGGGAAACCCCTAAAGCATGATGGGATGTATCAGCCCATGGTATTCACAGCACCAGATGACTCTTCTTTCATGGAGGAACTGTTCTGTCATGCAGTACTGTTGTTGGGAACAACACGCAGAGAAATGAGGGCACGTACGCCTAGCGACCAAGAAAAGGTAATGTTATGTTCAGTATGTGCTAAGTACATATCATTAACCACTAATCCCAATAGGAACCTTGCTGCTATAGGTTGGTGAAGAAAACTACAGAATTATAACTTTATCACTAATATGGTACCGGGTCTTCTTTGTGTAGTTGATAGCTGATAAAGATATTCCCTTTTTCCATGGACCCTTTCTTGATCAATTTAGATCATAATTTGGTCATACTAACAAACTCTTTGGTCTTCTAGTAGGTGACAGCTGTTCAGTTGCTCAAGAAGTTTTGTTTTTATGGAACATGATGGGTTAATCCGTATGTTCACAAAAGCTTGCCATTAGATCCTACTGTTCATATCTTTGGCTTAACAGTCTGTTTTAAAGGTTTCTTCCTTTGAAATTTATCAAACAAAACTTCGACAATATTTCTATGCACTAAAAAAAATTAGCATTTGTAACAATAAATAGTTTCTGTTTTGCACTTGGTGAATAGGTATATGTATGATGTGAACATACAAAAAAAGGTTGGGAGGTAGTTTTCCAGTTTTTACCAAATGCTGTCTGGATGACATTCAGTACCTTATGTGCTGTCACATGTTCAAATATACAGAAAATTACACAATTGTTTACATTTATAATGTGTACAAATGTGCTGCTGCTGCCATGATGAATTATGGTGAAAAATCAATAACTGTGAGCATTTTTAAATAAATAAAAATTAAGCACATTATAATTTAAGTAAACTTTGTTGTTTAATGTATGCAGGGACAGTGATTATGTTTTTATAACCCCTTCTCCTTGAACATTTTACAATGCCAAGTCAATTTACAGAATACTGAGAGTAATTTCAATTACAACAGTTTTTCAAGTTCACGTCACAGCTCTTCACATCTCGGTGTGGTGATTCTCGCATGTTACTTGCAAGAACGTTCTGCAATTGAGATTCAGATTTCCTGTGCCTCTGGTTAATGCTGCACAACACAGTGAGATGTACAACAATTCTAATTGCATATCATGGTGTTTCTGTTGATAAAGACTTTTAATTAATAGTTTAAAATGTGACCAAAAGGTATTGGAATCTACTGATATAATTATCTTTATAATATAATATATATTGTAGAAGAGGTGGAAATTTTTTAATCCAGTTGACAGTTGTGCAATAATACAAAACACTATGCCCAGATGAAAGGTTTGTGTTGTGACTAAAAGTGAACAGGGATGGTAGAAGATGGAAACTAGACATACAATAGTGTGTGTGACAATTCTAGGTGTTGTGTGTACTGCAGCGGCAACTGCGGGAAGCACTGACTTTGCAGCCAGTTACACTGGAGCAGCTGGATGAAAACTTTCGCAGGTTTCCATACACTGTGATTGCAGAGAAGTGGCAGTTGGAGCATGAAAAGAAGGAAGAGTGGCAGCTAACACACTTGCCTCCCATCTTGCAGCTGAAGGAGCAACGCTCAGGTGCAATCCTTGAGCTAATCGAGCAACAGCGCATCAACACACTACTGAGGGGGGCAAAGTTTCCCAAGTACACTGCAAGGGGCCAGGTTTGTGCTAGAAATCCATAAGATATTTCAGTTCTTTCACTGATTTATCCCATTTTTGAGTTGATGGTTCCATTTACAAAGTTCCCATTGAATTTCATGGGTTTGAGTTCGCAACTTTCTGAAATACAATTTTTAGTCAATTTATTTATTTAAAAAGGAAACATAAATTCATGGTGTTGTGGCTGTCTCCCTCTTATTTAACTTTAAAATCGTGGATTTTCTTGGTATTAAACAAAATACATTTTGAGGGTACATGGCCTTTGTACTGTTTAAATTTATTACCAGTAGTGACACCAACATTTCAGTTATGCAAATTTCTGATATGAAAGAGCCACTAGCAGGTTTCTAAAGTGTTTTTAAAGTAATTTCTTTTGTTGACTTTAAGATGGCTGGAAGAAAGTTATATTTAAGTTTTCAGTTTGGTAGCAGTAACTAATGTGCTACTAGAGCTAGACATGTGAAATTTGGATGGAGACAGATCATAAAACACTCACACATTCAGTATGAAATATTATATGTTCGTACAAATTTGGCAACAATGCAAAACTTTGAGGTTATGTCTGACATGTATAATTTATGTGGATTTCATTACACTACTGGAAAATTATGCACAAATTAATCCGTAAATTGGTATTATCATAATTATTTGTTCATGGTTTCTGTTAGCCTCACTATTGTGTAAGTTGAAAGTGGATGACCAAATTAAAAACAAAATTATTTAAATAAAAAGTATTATTGAATTGTCTTTACACATTATAATTTTATTATAAAACTAGAACTGTTATGGTAAGAAATGATGTGGTATATTGACAGTTACTCATGGTGCAGTAGGTACAGACAGTGTTTTTGTTCTCAGAGGGTGAAAAAAAAGTCATGGTTTGTGTGTCTGTCCACAAATCAGAGGGCTTTCCACTATGGTGACTGCGATGACAAAGATAGACTTATGTTGGACTGCTCCAGTAAAATTTTAGTATGCAACATTCGAATGCTGGTCACTGGCAAGAAGTGTCCGCATGTCAGGGATGTCAGGTGAGCACCTGTGGTACAGTTTCTTTGTTGAATTGTGCCCGAGTATTTTTCAGATTTATATTTGTATGTGAGAGAGAGAGAGAGTGAGTATTATGTGAGTGAGTGCAAGTGTGTGCTTGTGCATATGTGTGTGTGTGTGTGTGTGTGTGTGTGTGTATGTGTTTTACAATGTGGAAACCATACTTGAATCCAGCACTCTATCCTTAGATACTCTGACCTTCAGAATACTGTCTTTCTGCAGCTACACAATTGTGACAGAGTTTATAGAGTAGTTTGCTGTATTTCTGAAAGCTGTTACAAGCAGGTGTAGAAACACAATACCATGCTTTGCAGTTTCTGTTGCACAAGTAGTGACCAATGCATCATATTGTAAGAGGACTGAGTCTTTGATGACTCACATTTTGGGATGCTTCAGATGAATTGCCTCTTTTTGTTGGGAAAGTATCTCCTTTTATATCTCTTGTTGATTCTAGTACCCTCAGGAATGAACTTGTAATGCATGATGCCTTGTCAGCTGAAAAGTCTTCCAACATCTTCTTCCAGTTCAAAAAAAAAAGCATTGATGATGATAACTTGTGGAGAATTTTAATTTACTTTGGGTATCATACAGACAACACCAGGTATTATCACCTGTGACAATCTTTCAATATGTTATTTGTGGTGCTGATCTCACCACTGAATCTCATACGGTTGCAATGTTCCTAGGTCATTGTTTTGGTTTAGTATGTTGACAGTCATGATGCGTTTTTGGATTTGTATTAATGTTGTTTATTCGCAATCATAGCAAATGAAATTCAGACACTGCAATGTTCTGTACTGTCTGAATGGTGATCAGAACACTCAGCCTCCTACACCTGTCTCACATTGTTCTTGTTCTGTAATCTTGCAGACAGTCTGCTGCACAGGTCAGCATCCCCTGATTCACGACTGGCTTTGAACCTGTGATACCATTAACCACCTTGAACTCAGATATTACTTGTCTGCTGTGTATTGTCTGAAGCTTGTGCAGTGTTTCTGCCACCAAATTTCTCAGTCACTGGCAAAATTTTGTTATTTTGTTGCTAGAAGCAATATGTTTACCCACTTCAAAGTCTTCTTCTATGCATTACATTGTTCTTTGATATCTATTATACCTGCTTGTCTAATGGTAATAAAACAACTTAGAAGGCTTTCCATTATTAACATATACAAGTATATTCCATGCAATGTTTTACAGTGTTACTGTATTCACTTCATTTGTGGAATGTTTTGAAGCTACTATTGTACATGCTATGTATACATACAAATGTATGTACAATTTTCAGTAGCATGTTTAATTGGTGCACTTTGAGCTATTAAATTATATTATAGTTTGCTGCCACATGGAAAATATAGTGAATGACAGTATGTTTTTATTAATTATTCAATAAATTCAACAAATAATGAAAATAAAGAAGAAAATAATGCACAGATGATTAGGTTTTATTTATAACAACTGCTATGTTGATATCTGTATAAACATATTCCAAAAATGTGAAGAAATTAGAATTTAATAAGTGCCAAACATATTGATTTATACCATTCCTTGTACAGGAATCGGAAGTCTGACCAATATACAGCTGACCTTGCATTCTCTGTAATATTAGATGAAGAACCTCACAGTTTGGATTTTGTAGCACCTGATCAGCGAGCATTTGACTACTGGACGGATGGTATCAATTGCCTTTTGGGTAAGTTTCTGTAGGAATATACATTTTGTAAAGATGCACATCTGGAATACTCAAGTGTGTATGCAGACAAAATTGTATTAATCATTGATGTTGGTCTTCTGAGTTGTAACACTGTTTACTTGTAGCTAGATACTGATTACATTTTATATTCCATGTACCGATAGTTATCATCAATTCTAATTACATTACATTGCATTACCATTTTTAGCATAATTTGCTAAATACCTGTTGAGCAAAAATCTGAGATAGTTCCATAAGGTTTTCAAGCCAGAATATTTTATGCATTTCTTGTTTTCATCATGTACTACTTGTCCATCACACATTTTTGGCTTAGTAGCTCCCATTTGAGTCCTGTATGCTCAGCACTTTGTTTTCATACATGTTCAGTCTGTGTATCACAGATTGAGAAACTGAGTTTAAAATGCATACAAAAACAAGTACAATTGTAATGACCATCTTCATAATGATAAATTTTCCAGGAAACCATATGACAAGTGCCACCAAGGAAGCAGAATTCAAAATGCTACTTAATCTTGAAGTGCGACTGCAGCTGCTAGATACTGAGGGTGTATTCCTCCCGAGCAAACCTCCTCTGGTTCCTAGTGACCCTCCAGATTATAACTTCCATTATAAGTGATGCAGCATCATTAAATGATGATATTATTTTGGAGTTGGCTTCCAGTTTCACATACTACTTGATTAGTAGAAACATAAGCCTTCAAAATCCCCTACTTCTGATGCTGACTCATTTATGTGAAAACATTTTATTTTGTAGATTATATCTTTTACTTTTTCACTGTTTGTAAGAAGAAAGACCTCTGTTCAGTTAAATGTAATTTTCCATCCTCATTTTACTATGTTCATGTTGTTTTTATTTTATTTTGCTGTAAGTTTACAATACTTAATGTAGAATGCTTTTGTTATTAGATTATCACTGTTTCTACTGTGAGTGTGTGTGTGTGTATACAGGTGAGTCAGAAGTATGTTTACAAACTATGAACATGGGGTCGCAAATGTTTCATTTTCGAAATAATAGTCAAACATAAGTTTCAATGAATGACTTTATGTCAAAGTGAATCCAGCTTCCAGCAAAAATTTTAAATTAAAGTGTGGGCAGGAATTGTTGGTGACATGCTTATTGGTCCACACATGCTTCCATCACGTCTAAGAGGACCTTCATATCAGCGATTCTTAAGAAGACACTTGCCACATCTCCTTGAAGATGTTCCACTGAATACAAGAAGACAAATGTTTGTGCACAATGGAGCCCCAACATATTTTCCCATCACATCAGAGATCATCTCAATGAACAGTACCCTCAGCTATGGATTGGATGCGGTGGCCCAGTAGCATGGCCACCGAGGTCACCGGACCTACTATATTGGACTTTTATCTGTGGGGTCACTTGAAGTCCGTCATTTATGCAACACCCATAAACAATGAAGATGACCTTTTGGAAACGTGTGCAGAATGCATGGCAGATGATTTGAGGAAACCCTGGTGTGTACGAACGAATTTGTCAGTCTTGTGTACGTCGTGCTCGTGCATGTGTGGAGAATGAAGGAACAACCTTTGAGCATCTGTTATAAAGAAACATCCCTGTCCTTATACTTGGCAATAAAGGCATACATTGAAAATTATTTTTGGCTATTATTTCGAAAATGAAACATTTGCAACCCCATTTATAGGAACATTTTTTCTTATTTTTGATCCTGTAACACACACACAAAGTATGTAAACATACTTCTGTCTCACCTGTATATATACTCCTTTATGTTTATAAGTTATTTCTGTTCTTCTTATTGGTATCGTTGTTTTTGTAAACAGATTCCAAAGTGTCACTTCTTAATAGAAACTGAAATTGCATGATTGTTTCATTATTTATTTTTCTGCTGCTCTGCTTCAAAACTTCTGTATCAGTTGCTGCAACAATAATATTAAATGTAAGAAACTGGCATCATGGTCCTATGGCTTGTTCATGAAGAGAAATGTAGAAGATGAGCTCAGTCTTATTTTATCCACAAAATATTAAATGCTTGAGTTGTTTTGACTTCTTGTTGCAAAATTTGTGTTATGAAATGAATCACATGTTCTTAATAATGAGTTTAGTTGCTTTTGGTGGTTTATCATATTGTGAATATGACTTTATTTCAGATCATTAATGATTGAAGGTTCAGTTTCTTTAGTGGCAGAGATAATTTTGTTTGGTATCAGATGCTATATTTAGTGATCTGAGTACTGCTATTCTATATTGTATTCTGTCATTCCTTGTGCAAATTGTTGGGATTTTAGATTATCATCATTTAAACATGGTAATTTTATTCTGGTTTGAGGAATTATTGCTGTACGGTTTATTCTGTCAAATTTTTAAACCTCTGGCTGCAGCAGTCTATACATTGTATAAATGGGTACTATCCAAGAAATTGCCTTTCCTTAAGTGTCTGTGGTAAATGTATAAATATTTAATATCTGGAAACTTTTCAGTATTTTTTCTTGTTATTGTATTGAAGTAATTAGTAATTTCCCGGGGTAAAGCCGGCCGGGGCATGAAGCCGACCACTCACCCTCATCTATTGCTGAGGTGAAGAAAGAGGGGAGCTATACCTCCCTTTATGGCACGTAGCAGGAATCCTCACCTCTTAAAGGTGAGGATTGTATGACTTCAATACAGTCCTCACCTTTAAGAGGTGAGAATTGTATTGAAGTCACTGAAAACATTGTTTTTTGTAGATCTAAGTGTATGTGTGGAGACTAATTACAGAGTTGAATACAAATATCTATGATCAAAACATATTTTTCATTGACAATTTTAAAACGTGTACTGACCTCAGTCCTTATGAGTATCAGACTACTTTATGGTTTAGTGCATTTCAGTAAGGGGATTATGGATTGATATGGATGAAATGCTTATTATAATTATGTAGTTTTTTAAGGAAGTCTCATGTTGCTCTGATACCTTCAACTGATGGATAAAAGTTAAGTGAAAATTATTATACCATACCCAATTTCACCTTGAAGATGGGTAAGGTTCATCTGAAACAGATTACTTACGATATCAGGGTTCAAAATTGCGTGTTACCTATCAGTCATCATGGCCCTTGGGGGGGGGGGGGGGGGTTGAAGGTTGAAGAGTAGTTAATCTTCTTACCGACTGGGCAACTGTCATGTCGCCGTTGTGTTTACCTGTGAATCGCTCACAGGACTCAACACAACAGAGCTGCGTCCCCCACCAATAGCATATGACTGGGTTTTATGTTGATGTAAAATTTTCGGGCTACAAGCCCAAGAATCTTTCATCAACTTCAGTCGTCGCGAAAGCTTGCCTCAACATCAGAAACCTTTACGGGGAAAAGACAGTACTGGATAGTTGGCGCCTGGAAAAACTCCGGAAGAAGAAGTCAGGACCGTTCAGCTCGCTGGCTTTTATGCTTAGGTGTCGAGACCAACACATCATATCGACATGCGTGAATGTAAAACTTTGTAACACCTGACGCGGCTTGTAGCCCTAGAATTTTTCATCTACTTCAGTGAGTTTTATGTGCTCAGCTGATCCTTAATTCGAAGAAACTCCTTAATCAATTATCTCTAGGTTATAGTTTGTCATAGGTTGTCAATTTGAAACGAACTAATATTACAGCCATTTACGCCCTACTTATATTAACTTCGCATTCCATGAACTGCCATTTTATTTCTGTTGGGCCTAACTAACAAGATGGCTCAAGGAACCCGAAGGTTCGAAATCAAATTTAATTGGAACTTTCCAGGAATGTGGATAATCTGTGAATTGGCCGCCATTTTCAGTCAATGTATTTTGAAATTCCCAATCGACCGAATGAAAACCGATAGGTTTTCCCGCGTAATGCTAGACGTCTATTATGTGTCGTACTGAGGCGTGGAATGAACGTAAACAAAATAAATGCATGCTGTTTGATGCGTTATGAGCGAAGGATGGACTTCGTACACATATTGTATCAAAGAGAAATTGGGCGTAGTAAGTATCAAGTATATAAAATTATGTGTCGTGATTGTTAACCTCATTCTGAAACTAATTTGTTGCTGTTTCTTGCTTATAGGGACCACGAATACCTACGATTTTGCAATCGAACGTCTGAGATGCTACGATTGTGACGATTTTTGTGGAATTTACCCAAATATCTATGGCCAAAGTTATAATCCTGAGTCTCCTGTTTTGGCATGCCAATTCTGCTGTAAAGCAAACTACCAACATTGGCTTGCACTGGCAAATGAAGATGGCATGATTGGAATCCAGGACACAAGCTTAAAAAGTAAACGGTCAAAGTCAGGCGAGACTTTTGCTGAAGGTAAGAGTATTTTAACAATAACAACTTGGATAAACAATGAGTTATGAGAAACTCATATTTCATCGGTTTTGGCGCAGTCACCAAAGAATTTAGATGTGAAAAGAATTAGACTTCGAAGAGCTTATAACCCACCAAATTTCCGAAACCAATTTCTGCAATACCAATAATCACAAGATATGTAATTATGAACATAGTGAAAGGTCTTGACGAACTTTACAGTGTGCTAGAGTTAATGTGTAAAACTGTCTACTTTAGTGATCTCCTTATCACAACAGTTTATTGTAGTGGCTACCTCTTCACAACAGTCGGTCCTATTTCTGATTCCATGGTATTTGATAGGTGAAGTAGAAAATATGACAGGGAGGGCAGGTCAGCAGAATAGGAAAGGACTGTTATAGCATTATCTCATACAGTACTTTTATTTTTTTTAATATATTATAGGAAGGTAATCTGTCTTTGCATAGGTCCTTTTGGTGATGTATGGGACCAAATAAAGCTATTAACTCTTATTGTAAGTCATGAGCTTTTTAATATTCTTTTTGTGGTGTAACTGTCTATTTATTTTGAAGTATCAGGGATATGGCTGCATCTTGGAATGGTGAAAACTGCCGCTGACTAAGGCAGGTGTGCAGTACTGAATGTTCTGTGTGCACTGGTTTCAATCACTCTGACCAACACATGTTGTGAGCTTAGGTGTTTACACATTACTTTGCTCTTCATTTTTTATATAATGAGTTGTGTGTAGGGCAACTGTTTAGTACAATAAAATAAGTTCCATTGCCAGTTCACTGCTTTTAGAACACATACAGAGAGTCATCACCACGTGCACTACCGGAGGAAAGGTGGGGGCATTGTGAACTCACATACAGTGATCCCATAACCATAATGTCTGTCATAGTGAACTGGTCATTCATTCCCTATAATTATTACTGTATTTATGTCTGAAGTTTTGTGTGTGAGGAAAAATTACTTTTTTATTAATGTAAATCATTAAGAATGTACCATGCATTGAATGGAAGTGAGTGTTTGGCTTCACATATTGACAACTTTTTACCTAGGAAAGAACCCCTGACATCTGTTGGATATGATGCTGTGTGGTTCCCATAGCAGTTATGGGTGTGATAAAACAAATACTTTCCCATTTTGAGAAATAGTCTTTGTTGTCCATTCTGTAGCAAGTTACTTGAGAGACTGAGTTGTCTCATGCTAGTCATTATGCTCTTAGCCAAGGAACAAACTATTATAATTTGTATACTGATCTGTTACTTTATGTTGGCTTTTGGGTTTTGGCTGTATTGTAAACTTGGCTAAGTCTACCCATGTACATATATATGTTACTGTAAAAGCCCAAATGTTGGTGAAACCTAGGATTTACCAGACAAATGTAGGTCTTACCAAACAGTGTTTGTAAAATATATATATATATATATATTATTTTTTTTCATGTCCTATTTTGGGGTTTGGAAACATACATTCCTTATCTAAGTTGTATTTTAAAAAAGTTCAATGGATGTCAAAATAATATATAGAAACATTGCAAGAAATAGAAAAATTGTGAAATAAAAAAATATGAGACATTTCAATCATCAAAGTACATTTTTTTCACTGCTGTTTCAAGACTTACTTGTTGCAACAAGGTGAGCTGTTATGACATTTGGAATTGCATAATACTCCAGACGATTTGCACAAGCACTTTTTTGCTAACCTAGACTAACCTTTTTACTACCTGATTGTGGTAAATCCTACCAACACCCATTGGTAAGACCCTGAAGTAAGACAAGATTTTTTTTTTTGCCTTTTACCAACACTGTTTAGTGAAACCTAGGTTTGTCTGGTAAATCCTAGGTTTCACCAACATTCAGGCTTTTACGGTAACATACACATTCCATGGATCAAAATGTTGGTGAACCTGACAATTGGATGTGGAATAAATCATAAAGTACAAAACATGCAGTTGAATAGAATTTAAAATATCAATTATCTTCCACAAATAATGAAGGTTTAGCACAAGAATACTAAAATTTTACACTAAATCCACTGCTATATAGATATGTTAATGATGATGGTTTACATGTGCCTTTCACGTGGCCCATTGATTTAAGGTTTTTATTATTTCAGAATTAGATTTGTATATTCACTCTTACAATATTTTAGTTTATTGTTCAAATCCATTGGTCCCAGGAGAAACATTAAAATGGACACAGTACACAGTACACAGTACTATAGGTCTGGTACAATTTGAAATTACAAACTCGTGCACCTGTATACTTAAATGTAGAGACATGAGGAGCTGTCATTTTTCCAACAGGTACACAAGCTCACCACAATGCAATATTTGATTTGGCTTGGATGGAGGAGGAACTGAAGTTGGTAAGTGTGTCAGGTGACCATACTGCCATGCTATGGGATGTTAGCATAATGCCATTCAGACAGCTGAGGTTATTTAAAGGACACACAAAGAGTGTGAAAACAGTGGCCTTCAGACCACAAGACAAAGGTGAGAATGTGTCAGATCACTATCATTCTTTACAGTGTTATGCTCTGCAGGGCTGTATTACAATATTTACTTCTGTTTGTTGGTCTTCTTAAACATCTTCCTTTTGGTTTGGTCTTATCAGATGTCTTTCTTTCAGCATATTCCTTCCAGATTCTTCTGTAGTCTTATTCAGAATCTGTTAGTGAAATTTTTAATTGTGTTATTAATGCTGTCATTGTTTGAAATTTATGTTAAATGAACTTATGTAAAGCTGCAATAGGCAAAATATTGATAGTTACTACTGATAGTTAGAAGGCTTACTGAACTTCAGAATGGAATGATTTATTTCACATCTTTGTCTCTCACCCTCTTTCTTATATTTCTTTATTCTAATGGTACTTTACCTTCTTTCTTCCTTTTACCCTTACTCCTTTTCCATTCCTTTCATGTTTCAATCCCACCATAATTCTTCTCCCTTAATCTTTCTTTCTTATATCCCTTTCATGCCTGTCTTTCTACCTCTGACATATGCAGTTACAGGAGGAAAACAAAAAATATAAGCTGTGCTACATGTTTGTATAGTTGAGCATATTTAAATGTCTCCTTTCTGAGTGCAACAAAATGTCTTCTAAAGCAGACATAAAACTGGGTTTTATGTAATACACATTCCTTTGTTTGCATTAATGTTCTAGCATATAAGACTTCTGTAATTAGTAAACCAGTTACAACTTCTGTATGTTTAAATTCTCATCAACCTTAAAATACAAAACTAAATTAATATACACCACATAAAGTATGATAGATTAATAAGAAAGAATATGAAACTGTCAACATGGTGGAAAAGAAAAATAGTGAAAATCAAAGGAATCTCCAAAATGAAATCCTTAAAACTCAGTTAAGAGCACTGCAGTTGTTTGTGATGGATGACTGATGCAGTGTGTTTGTTTGCAGCTGTATTTGCAACAGGAGCTCGGGATGGGATGATAATGGTATGGGACACAAGGTCAAATCAGGGGCCATCCTGGGACAAGCCAGATAACTTTATTACCAACTCCCATCATGCTTTGGGACCAGGTGAGTAAAGGGAGTTTTGTTTGTATTACAACTCCTCTATCTCTGCCATTGGTAGTAATTTATTTCAATTATGAGAGAACATGATGTACATTTGTCTCTGTCTGTTGCAGATATATTCTAATTAAAAATAAATTTCCATCCTATTTGGGAATGACAGTAACTAACCAACTCCATGGAGCAGAGACCTGCTTGAGAAACTAATGAATTCCTGAAAGGAGTTGATTATTTAAAAATAAGTTTTTACATCTGTTTCAAAATTGATTTAACTTGTAAAAGTAATAATGTAAGAATAACTTGTATCCATTAAAATATTTTCTTTGTACCAGTACTGCTTGGGAATGACAATAACTATCAAACTTCATGGATAAGAGTCCTGTTTGAGAAGCTACTAGTTTCTCATCTGGCTTTTTCCCCCTCTTATGGAAACAAGCAATTTGTTATGTTCATAATATCCCACATGGAATGAGAATAATAGATCCATGATGAAATTAACAGAAACTTAAATTTTGTAAAATGTTTGCTGTTATTCAGTTCAGCATCTTGCCATATCTAAGAAACTTCACATTAAATGTATGAAGCTAATTTCAACTGTTTTGCATGAGTGTGAAACGTGGCCTCACATTCTGAAGGAAGGAGTTACATTGATGATGTTTGAGGCCTAAGGCAATGTCCTACGTAAGCGATAACAAGCGAGCTATGCGAGCTTTTAAGCAGCATTGGGTGTCATATGAAGCAGGGAATTGCTTGTTGTGTTCTACATGAGAGACCACACTAGAAGCACACGGCCTTCCTGCGCATGCACCTTCTGCGTACTGCATGGTCAGAGCTTTCTTGCGCATGCGCCTTACTGGCCAGTGCAGCGACTCGCGCGAAAAGATCAAAATATTTGATCTCGGACTTCGGCCGCTTCGCTTGAACCTAGGACAGCGCCACACAAACAGCCAGTTTGATATTTCCGCTTCACCCACGCTACTTGCACCGCTCGCATTTAATCGCTCACGTAGGACAGCGGGTAAGTGCTGAGGAACATACTTGAACCTGCGAGAGATGAAGTAACAAAGAACTGGAGAACGCTTTGTAACGCGGAACCTTTTTAATTTGTGCTTTTCATCTAATAATGTGTAGATGATTGAGTGTAGAAGTATGGAATGGGCATGCATTGGATAAATGAGAAGAAATGCATACAAAATTTTTGTTGGATAACCTCATGGAATGTGATCATTTGGGAGAATAATATTAAGACAGATATTAGAAAAAATAGTGGGAATTTGATTAAACTGACAGGTTAGGGTCCATTGGCTTTTGTTAATGCTATAATGAATCATCAGAATCCATAGAGGCAGGGAATGTCAGCAGCTGTATAACTGTTAACTTTATGTGAAAGACTACCATGGAGTGTAACTTGATTATTTCTGAATCTCTTTGTATATACTTTCACTCGAACATTGAATAGTTGTGTATATTGTTTGACTGAAATGTCTTTGGTTTTCAGGTACTGCATCCAGCAGTGGATCCAGGAGTCGACGAAACAAGTCCACACCAACATCTCATGCCAATAGCATTACTGGTCTTGTGTTCCAGGATCAGGACCTCCTGATATCATGTGGGGCTGGCGATGGGTTTGTGCTCCTTTCTGTGCCTAACAGATATATGGACTTAATGTTTCATCATTAGGATTGTAGAACAAGTACTTCGTGTAGTTGCAGTAGAATGGTTAGCATTCCTG